AGCCTATCTACCATAAGAATATGAGCGAAATCGAATTTTCGACCCTTGCCGCGAAATTAAGAATTTGTCTGATTTTTACAGGCAGGCACTCTTAAAATACTTTTCATGCTTAAAACATACCTGTTACTCTCATTATTATGCTGCCGTTGCATGTCGTAGTCAACAGTGTATAATGAATTGGAATCCTAGAAATATTAAGGCAAGCATGTAATGATTACATCATCATCATCATCATCATCATCATTAAATCTTTATTTAAATCTTGGATTTTTGATTAGCAGACAAAAGTGCTAGCATCTCCGACTCAAAGACACTGCAGTATAAGCACAGGTAAGGTAAAATCTGGATACATGCCTTCATGTATATAGTGGCATGTCAGGCCAGAAAATCAGGCATGCGCTTAATTATATGTGGTTTATTCTGGTTTCTCTTGCATGAAGGTAAATATAAATCTAATTAAACCCTGGCCTCCACTCCCCACATCCTTGGATTTTACACCAGGATGCTGCCTTGCCCAAGAACACAACACATTATCCCTGGCAAGGACACAAGTTCCTGAAATGCTCACTGACCATCAGACCATCAGATCTACGACCCCACATTTAGCTTTATACATTATTATATGTCCAACTATATGTCTATATCAAAAATTGCCCAGTCAAAATAAATTCAGTTTAATTGACAATTAATCCATGGGTGTGCGTAAGATATAAGATGGTAGATAGCCAACTACAGCAGGGGCAAGTTGGGTATAATCATCTGATATCCAACAAGTGCGAGTGGAATCATATTGTTACTAAAAATGCCCCCAAAATATAGAAAACTAAAACAGGATAAAATAAAAATAAAAATGTCCAAAAAAATATTTGCAGAGCATGGTAGAATGGCTCATATACCATGATGGCTATATGTAAGCCAATGAGAACTCTTGCATTTATCATCCAATGATTCAGTTTTTAATAATGTTAGATATTAAATTTTTATCATTTGTAAATTTAAAGCTGACCTTTAATTGACATTTCTGTATGCTGTAAATGTGTAACGACGTCACTACAGAGAAAGACTTCTTTGTTTCTGAAAAGGGAAGAAAACAAAAATTAAAAAAATGCAAACACTTGTATTCATGATTAAAATGTGTAGTTCCAGAAAATATCCATACCTTCCCCACGGAAGGAATTTTTTTCTAAAATCCCCCCCCCCCCCCCCCCCCNCCCTACCCCTCTGGAAATATCTCTGGAAATTTCAATTTAAGCTTGATACATTTCTTTATATTTTTTTAATTTTTTGGCCTTACAGAACCCCTCCTACCCACAGGAAATTCCAATCCTTTCTGTGGGAGGAGTATGGATATTTTCTGGAACTGCACAAAAAATTGAATGAAAAAACATACATGTGCATTGCATTTAATATAAACATTAAAATGTCCAAATGAGATGTAATACATGAGCAAATCTCTAAAAATACATGTGAAAAGAAAACCATATACCCTATGTATATTCCCTGAACAATTTGTGTAAAAATTTTAACAAGTTCGTTGTTGTAAGTTGCTATTTTCTCCCCAGTTTAGTTAGCATACATGAACATAATAATACTGCAATATTTACACTGCCCACACAACATTGTTTCCTCAAGCTACTGTACCTTCAAGGTTTTCATCCTGGGTGATGACATACCGATGTACCTGAGACAAATTGAAGGAACATTTTCAATTGCAGGTCTTCACAGTCCAATAAAATACAACCTACAAAGACTTCTGAATAATATGTTCACATGTCATTGTTAACTGCTGCAAATGGCAGGGTATTCAGACCACATCAGATTGACTCAATAAAATTTAACTACTTACATCTAACATTTACACAAATGCACTTCCATGGGTTTGCTTGAAGAGAGAGAGAGAGTGACAAGGCTCGAAAAAAAGTGCCATCCAGTCATCTGAGATAAGTAGATTCTCCTTTCGAGCAAGTACTTTTCTCATAAATTTTCAATTGCCTGATGGGCAACTGGGATCAGGCAAGTTGTCTGCCAACTAAATCATTAAAAGAGCAAACTAAGGCTAAGTTTTATTTCAAGCCCTGAGTGAGGAGCAAAAGTGGAAAAATGATCAGAGATGACTGATTTTTTTGGTTGTTCACTGTTCATGTGTCTGTTACCATAAGCAAACCCTTACTTTTTCTCCATCCAAAGAACATCTTCCTCCAACAATATATGTTATATTGAGATGAGAAGCAGATTTTGATGTCTTCTGTTTCTGTGCAAAGGCATAGAGCATTCTGTGGGGATAAGTATGGCAGGAATCAATAATTTGAGTTGTTTTCTTTTTGTTAAGATACATGTTTTTTCACCAGGGCTGTCAATAAGAGCCATAACCTGTAACACCAGTTACAGCTGAGTATCCCTTGATGCTATGGGTGAAATTGCCTGTTGTTAATAGAATTCACCCACAAAGTAACAAGTTTGTTATGGGTGTGAAGACAATGGGTGACTCAAAACTTAATGACAGTCCTGAACATTATGAATAAGTGGTAGTGCCAGTTTGAATATCTAACTGATGATATCCGTTCTTGACACTTGTTTCTGCTGCTGATCAAATATTTTAGTTCAAAAACAAGGAAATTAGACTTTGTAAAGAGAGAAGATGGAAAGTCACTAAAATTGCTTGTGCCCCAGGAAGCACTCTACACACCACTGTTAAAATTATGCTCAAAGTCTGAAACGAAACGAAACAAAAATCAAATATAGTACGCTAACATTCACGGAAATTAGAAAGTTTCGTTAAAACAAGTTTTAATTTTCGCTTACTGTTTAGCTTTGTTGACGGGCACTGACAAGGTACGACTCAACCATTTGTAGGTAACCTGAAATAAATCAACCAGGAAAATAAACAATTCCGAAACTAAAATGCGCTGGTTTTCCATATACCAATAAAGGGCTTACTATTTTATCCTCGTCGTTAACAAATTCATCGAGATTTGCAAGGTAAAGTTCTTCATCGTCCGCCATCTTGATTTCCCGCCAAATCTGAGTTTTGCGCCTTCCTTTGTATAGATTACCGCTGTCTGCGATTGCGCCGGCGTTACAAACCAAATCCAAAAACATCGTAAAAAGATTGTAAAAGATGGCTTCCATTTTTCATAAAATTGCCGGCGTTTCTGGAGCTTTGGCCATAGCATTAGGAGCTTATGGAGCGCATGGTAATTTCATCTTTTCCCCCTTACTTATTGAAGTCAGCCAGTTTGGTGGGAACGTCTAAAGCTAATGGTAGTCCGTAAGACAAAATAGGGACTTTCCTCTGGACCCGTCTGGATTACGTTAGGACTTTGGTAGCTTGGTTTCAGACGTGGTATTTTTAGGTCAGTCATTTAGTTTCACTTACACTGCCCTGTCTTGAATCTTGTTTATACCAAAGTTACATCAGCTCTGCGGCGACATGGATATGAATATGCACATAAGGTCGGATATAAGGGCCATTCCTTTAACGATCCTCCCCCCCTCCCCCCCCCCCCCCCCATTAATTGATGAGGTGTGTTTATTTTTCCTGACCCCTTAAGAATGCGTTTTTCCTCCTGGTGTTACCCTTTTCCCCGCTCAGAAAATATCCTATTTAACTGAAGGGCTTTAGAAATTTTGTGTTTTGTCATACTTTCATCAGAAAAGAGTATATCGCACTATCCCTGTACAATATGACACAACTTTCCTACTTCCCCACAGAAATTTACTCTTGGTATTGTACCCCTTCTGAAATGAACATTTTGGATAATAACCCCTCAGCAAATCTTGTCTATGGGTGACTCAGAAAATGTCATCTGCTTTGGGCAGGGGGAAGGGACTGTGGATTGTTTAAAATGGATCGGCGTGAACGGCCAAACGGCTCTAAGAAGAGCCAGGGGATGGGGAGGGGAGAGGCGGTGGGGTTGACGGAAGGTCTAGGGGTAACTCTGCTATGTCCTCTACTTGGGAATTTTTTATTTCTTACCAAAACGTTTCACTGAGTCCCCGGATTAAGTCTCTGTAGTTTTGTTTGTAGCAAGTAGCTTATGGAAGTCCCCCAGAAGAGTATGGTTTACAAAAAGTTGTGTTAACACACTGATGTCTTAATTAAGCTTGTTTCTGATTTCCTTATTGTGGTGTACTTTTTTTGCTAGCTTCATGGCTTAATCAAGATGATGCCAAAAAATTCAAAGAGGTGAGAAATTAAAACACTTTCTAACTGTTAGTAGGGAATTACCCTCTAAATGATTCCTTCACCAGTTAATTTACATATGTGTACATGTAGAAGAAGAGAAGCTGCAGTAACATGTATTATCACCACATAACACCTAATCAGAGTATTACAAGACGTAACTTTTACCAGTAGTCCATGTATTATTAATTTCCCAGGGACAAAGTATCAAAGATTGACTATATCTATGCCTAATTCACAAAGTACTTCAAGGCTAGCTGGTATAAAACTGACCTACATGTACCTTTGTTTGTATCTACATGTAATCATCAACATGGACACTCACACACATACACTTACTGTACATATAATTATGTTTCTGGATTTATGGAAACCATGTCAATTTAAACACAACCATCCTGCCACTTTTCTATGAAAATACATGATTTTTCACTCAATCAATCACAGGCAGTCAGCCACCTTGCTTGTGTGTGGCTGACCCCTAAGCCTACACGGCATGGTCAGCTAAGGCTGTCCTGCAAAGGAAATGAACAGTTTTACTCACAAAAATGCCTCTCTCTGTGACCCAGCCCACCCCCTGGAGTTAGACCCTTGGGGCCCTGCTTGCTATCAGCTGGTGGCCATGGACCAGGGCAGTCTATTCTAGCCCTCCATGAAAGAAGCCTCCTTGAGTTATCAAGTGCAACAACAGCCTGTTTTGCCCAATTTTGAAATGGTTATTTTACTTTATTTTATTTTATTTTTATTAAATTTTTTTTTCATTTAAATTTTTGGCTTTTAAAATCTCTCTTGCTGAATGCTCTCATGGTTTCCAATGTCTTCTGTTGGGGTGGGTATGGCATTGCCCTAACACTGTACAGTCTGCATTGGGGAAAGGGAGTGGTGGTGGGGGTGGAGTAAGCAAGAAACTTTATCAGTCATTAATCTAGAGTATTTTCTTATTTAGAGATTTAGTGGTCAGCTGCTAGTCTACGTTTCTCCACAGATGTGTACATGTATTTTTTTTTCAAAGTTGCTCAAACAATTACAGCAATTACATCTAAACTTACAAAACAGTTACAAAAACAGTCTATGGAGTACATATCTACACATAACATACAACCAACTTACGGTATGCTACTACAGAAAAAAGGACTTTAACTTACAGCTTTGGGTTACAGACACTATAGAAAATAGTACAAGTTCACTAATTACAAGACAATAATTATTTTAAAAAAAAAACTAGCTGTGTACATGTATGTTTTATTTCAGTCCTTCATGACTGGGAATCTCTACCATCATTTAAATAATCTGGCATTGTTAGCAGTCCCCTTTGCCAAACGACCAAACTTGGTAAGCACGCATTCAAATGTTGTGGTAATTTCTTATCAATGCAGTTAAGCAACTTTACCTGTAAGGGTAAGATCCCAGGCAAGATCCCAGGCAACATCAGAATGACAGAGCTACAGAAGATTGTCCTCCTTGGAGCTGCTCACATACTTAGGAGGACTCTATCCTTAGGAGGAGTCTGTTGTAAAGCACTTTAGAATATTTTATAATTTTAGCATATAAATATATTATATTATTATTGTTATTATCCATCAAGTAATCCAGCAGACTTATGACTGCCCTAATGGATTGAACTGAGCACCATAAGTGAAAAGAGCAAGACTTTAAGGATTTACATCATCATCATCATCATCATCATCATCATCATCATCATCATTATAACAAGACTTTAAGGATTTACATCATAATGATAATAATAATAATAATAATAATAATAATAATAATTATAATGTCTTTCATTCCAGCTTCATTACAGCTAGTAATTGGGGAAACCTATATCTAAAAATATTTTTAAATTCAAAATCTATTGTAAACCGATGATCACTCTCATGCATTGTGCAGATTACACTTAATACACTGATCTAGTCCATTTATCTAAACTCCATGGGACAAATTTCTAAATAGCCAGACATCTGATAATTTATAAATTATGGATGCACTTGATGACAGTACCACTCAGAAGAAACCTAACAGGGAATACGTTTGCAAATGAGTATAGAATGGATACCGAATAGAAATGAATGGATACTGAATGGTAACGGATGCAATCTCAAGTGCAGTGATGTTAGAAGGAGTCTGATCTTGATACGTTCCACACAGTCATTATTAATATGAATTTCTAAGAGAAAGAAAGATCATGTGTTTCTCTGGAGTTATTTAATTATTGAAACACAAGTGGAAGTTTGGGAGAATTAGAAGTTCTGAGGGAACGTGAACCAAAGGTGAGTGTTTCCACAACTTTTTCAAGTTCTCCCAAACTTTCTGATACAGACATGGTTTTTATTCTTTGGTCACATCACCATATCGTCAACATCACGTGCTATTAAGCTCTGTATTTCTATTGAATTAATAGGAGATCAGCTTTCAGTGCACGCTTTCATACAGAGTGAATTCTGTAAACATTGCATGCAAGTAAAATCTAGCCACCACTGAGAAGTTTTACCATATACCAAGCTGGTCCAATTCCTAACTCCAATTCCTAGCTATAGTGTAGATGCTGTCCACCTTGAATGGCTTACTCCAATGGCCCATTGTTTTTTTATAATACATGACAGCTTGGTCATTTATTTTTGTACTTGTCATTCATTTTGTTTTCCTTCAACATTTTTTTTTTTTTTTTGAGTACAGTTATTAGTGACAGAAATGTTTTCCAGGAACAAGTATCTGTTTGTTTGGTTTGCTATAGAAAGCTTGTCTTTCCCATATGCATACTGCCTGGTCTAATTGTTCGACTGAGCAATATTATAGCTGAAGTATAATAATTTGAGTCCTTGTTGTACAGGTTGGCAGTTTGATTTGTGGTGGAATTCTTCTGTTTTCAGGCAGGTGAGGTTGTTTCAGTAGATTTATAAACACTTAGCCTGTGGTGCAAGCATTTTCCGTATGCTCACAAGTTTTTTGGTGTTAGCTCGCGATCGAGTAGATTCGTTGTCATGTTTTCATAGGAAAAGTGGGCAAGGAGGGGATGGGGGCAGAAGGAGGGAAGGAAGGGAATAAAATTTTCCTTCCTCTCCCTCTCCCCCATGCTCCTCTTTTAGCCTCACTCCTTCTCCATTGGACACCTTGTTATCTTTCCCCAAGTCTCTTGTACACTTGATTAAAATGTGCTCGCTTGCAAAAATATGCCTGCATTGCAGGCTAATACACACTTAGTCACTATAATTGTGTATCATACATGTTGGCAGGCAACAACCATGTGCATGCATTACTGTACTTGAATGATCTGTTTTTCTGTAATCTATCTCCATGTTGCCTTTTGGCTCTGCTTCAGAACATGACTTGTGAAAAACCTTTCAAATGAAAAACAAAAGGAAAAAAGGATTGATCTATACATGAAGATGAAAAATAGTATTGGAACTTGTTTTCAGTGACGTTGGGTAAATACACCAGCTAGCGCTTTCTTTTGTGAAGAGTCAGTTAGGCACACTGTACATGCCAGGTGGATGAGGCGCGGGGGTGGGGTTCTAAATCTGTGAAGCTGTTTGTGGGCATTACTTCAGGGGCGGATTCAGGATTTTTCTTAGGAGGGGTGCACCACCACTAAGGAATGGTGTAACTGACTGGTAAGGTAAACAAATTTTAAAAGCGAACAGGAAGAAGAAGGCTTCATTTCAGGGGGTGGTGCTCACCCCCTGCACCCTCCCTCTAGATCCATCTCTGTACTTGCTTGCATTATGGTGTCAATCAGTTTGCACCTGTTGTGAATTTTCAAAGTAGCTCCAAGAAACTGTAAATAATGATTGCCATTCTTTTTCATTTCAGCTGTTATTTAGTTGGATTCAGACACGACAAGTCGTTTGGAAAACTGGCTCCAGTGGGAGGGTATCTTCTTATGGCTGGTTGGCTAGCATTTGCGTTTTAACTTGGGACATATCATGGAAATGATTGTATGGTAGTTATTTCACTCTCACTTAGGTTTAAACAATTCTTAAAAGTGATTAATACCAAAGTAACATACAGCGTGAGGACATTGCACTTGGCAAGAGCAGCAGAATGATGAGGAAGAAAAACATAAAACATAAAAGGCCATTAGAACTGGCAGATATTCTCTACTAAACCACAAATTCTAATAGCTTACGTTGTACTCTGGACCAAAGCTTCTGTGGACAACTAGCTTGCGAAGAAATATTTATTCATTTGGAAACCCACTGAAACACATCCCAACTGTTCGCAATATATTAAAGTAAATCAAGAATACATGTAGAACTGAAAATCAATAATTAAAATTAATATTAATATTTCCATAAACCCGAACATTTTGTTGCGTAGCTTTCTTTCGTGTTTCTGTTTGAGTGCAACTTTGTATCATGCACTCCTTTTGTTTGACATTATTTCTGAATGTTATTAATACCAATTCATTACGAATTTGTTAAGTAAAGAAAAAGAAAAACAAAGAAAGAAAAACTAAGCTAAAAGTAATAACATTAGTAGATACAGAACTTTTGTAAAGTTCCTTCTCGTAACGTTTTTCCTTTGATTTAGTATAACATCTGTATTTAAGCAATAGAGCATTTTTCCTGTGTTTACATAGCCCCTTCTAAACACGAGGCGGGTTGGGAGAATTCGACTACGTCTCGGGTTTGCCTAACTATTCCAATATGAAACAATGAGCCGTCAAGTTCGACTTGTCAGTTCTTTTCCCAGTGGCATCGAAAATTCACCGACGACCTAGAAGGAAAATCAGCGCGGAAGCACGCATGTGGGATGACTTTTCCGTTTTCGAAGACAACGTGTTCTTCGAAAAAAAGTGCTTCTCGCCGGTTTCGGTTTCTTAAAAACGTCGGGACAGTTCCTCAAGTTTTCCGAAACTTTCTTTTCGTCGCGTTAGAGGTTATGTCATTTTCTTGGTCTATACCCTCATCGACCACAGAAGTTGGGAAATCAGCGCGCTGATGTATTCCTTTAGTATTGAAAAAAAAAAAAAAAAGAAGAAGAAGAAACAGCATTAAATAACGCATTAGTGCGGTCGAGGCCTAAAAGTATCCGTTTCCATTTTCGCAAAATATGTGTTCCCCGCACTAGCGTTTTCATTTTGTTTTCACCTCTCCACACTAATGTGTTTTCATTCAAAAACGCATGCCTTTGCCTATCGTCTGCGCACTAAAACGGCCGAAACCACCGATAGAAGCGACAGAACGATTTTTTTCCTTACCATTTTCTGAAACCTTCATTTTCACCTATCTACTCTAGAAACGGAGCGTTTTCAAATCGATGCGTTTTTCGAAAGACTCCACTTTTGAAACCGCTTTTGGAAGTCTCCGTTTTCATCAGCGTTTCCCGGCGTTTTAAGAAAGGCGAAAACGCATTTAAAAGTATGCATTTTCTACGGAAACGCGTTATTCTGGTCGAGGCCTTTAATAGACGCGCAGAAGGTTTTCTCAGTCCTGTATGAGGAACTACTAGTTTACAATAAATCATGGTCAATATGGACAAAGTAGATTGCCTCTATTCCTGACTCGACTACGGTGATGCGACACGGATGCAAGATGGTGAAAGATTTAGGAAGCTATGATGTGAAAGATGTGTCGCTCTTTGCCAGCCTGTCATTTTCACATACTACACTGTGGAATGAAAGGTAG